GCCTGTGATAACATCAAAGTCCCCGACTTTGTGTCTTTCTTGATCCTCATCCCAAGAATCTGCTTTGCAGCACCCAGATCCTTCATAGCAAACTGCTTCGACAATTTTTGCTTCAAGTTTATAATCTCTTGCATGTCTGAACCTGCAACGAGCATGTCATCAACGTACAACAATAAAATAATGAAGCTGTTGTCGAACCTCTTGATGTAGCAACAATGATCTGCTTGGCATCTGGTAAAACCACTGCTACCCATGAAGCTATCGAACTTCTTGTACCACTGTCTGGGAGCTTGTTTTAAACCATACAAGCTCTTCTTCAACCTGCATACCAGGTTTTTCTTGCCTGCCTCTATGAAACATTCTGGCTGCCTCATATAGATTTCTTCCTCCAAATCACCATGAAGGAAAGCTGTCTTTACATCTAACTGCTCAAGATGTAAATTTTCTGCAGCTACAATTTTCAACACCAGTCTGATTGTAGACAGTTTCACGACTGGAGAGAAAATTTCATTGTAGTCAATACCTTCTTTTTGCTGAAAACCTTTGACTACCAATCTTGCTTTGTAGCGTTTGCTCCCATCGTGCTCTTCTTTGATCCTGTAAATCCACTTGTTATGGAGCGCTCTCTTGCCTGGTGGTAATTCAACTAATTCCCACGTCTGATTTGACATAAGCGAGTCCATCTCATCTTTCATGGAAGACTCCCACTTGACTGAATCATCCACCTGCATCGCTTCATCATAGCACTCTGGTTCACCATTGTCAGTCAGCAACAAGTAGTGCAAAGAAGGCGAATACCGTTGGGTTGGTTTAGGAATTCTGGAGGAGCGTCTCAGTTCTGGTGTGCCTGGTTCTTCCTCTTGAACTGCTTCAGGACTGATCTGAACATCATTTCCAGAAATCTCCTCGAACTCAGCAAATTCCTTTGTTTCAGCTTCGGTATTACTTGATTCTGCAGTTGACCTATCTTTGTACATCACATTTTCATTGAAAATGACGTCTCTGCTTCTGATGATCTTTCGATTTTCGTAGTCCCAAAACCGGTAACCGAACTCATCACCACCGTAACCAACAAAGACACATTTGTTGGACTTGGGATCAAGTTTACTTCTTTCAGCAGAGTTTATGTGTACATAAGAAATACAACCAAACACTCTTAAGTGTGAAAGGTTTATTTCTTTCTTGCTCCAAGCTTCCTCTGGTATTCCGCCATCCAAAGGAACTGAGGGTCCACGGTTGATCAGGTAAGCTGCAGTGTTGATAGCTTCAGCCCATAGAAATTTGGGCAATCCGGCATGTATCCTCATGCTTCTGGCACGTTCATTCAGAGTTCTGTTCATGCGCTCTGCTACGCCATTCTGCTGCGGTGTTATGGGATCTGTTGTCTCCATCTTGATCCCATTGTTTGCGCAGAAATCTTTGAATCTTCTGTCTCTGTACTCTCCTCCATTGTCAGACCTCAACCGCTTGACTTTCAAATCAGTCTCATTTTCCACCATGGCCTTCCATTTTCTGAAGGTATCAAAGACTTCTAATTTCTTCTTCAGAAAATAAACTCACGCCTTCCTTGTTGAATCATCGATGAAGGTGACATAATATAGTGAGCCTGCAAGAGATGGAACTGGGGATGGTCCCCATACATCAGTATGAACCAACTCTAACCTTTCTGCCTTGGGTGTCTTGCCAATCTTTGCAAAACTGACTTTCTTTTGTTTGCCAAAGATGCAATCCTCGCATAGTCCGACATCTACATTCTTTAGATCCGGCAGCTTCCCTTTTGACAGAAGTATCTTCATTCATTTCTCGCTCATATGGCCAAGCCTTTGGTGCCATAGGTTTGATTTTCAATCAGCATATGCTACTGCAATGATATTCTCTAAATTTGAGGTTACATAGAGAGTACTAGTCTTCTTACCACGAGCAATGGCGAGTGCTCCTTTGGTAATCTTCCATTCACAGCCTGAAAAGGTTGTGCTATATCCTTCTCCATCAAGCTGTCCAACAGAAATCAGATTTCTTTTGAGGCCAGGAATATGTCTCACTCCTGTCAGCTTCCAGGTGGTCTGGTTTGGCAGCTTTAGTCGGATGTCTCCTTTTCCGATGATCTTTAAGGTTTCATCATCAGCAAGATGAACCTTCCCAAAATCACCACTGACATAGTTCTTCATGATTTCTTGGCATGGGGTGGAGTGGAAAGATGCCCCTGAATCCAAGATCCATGATTCAATCGGACTGTTGACGCTTAGAATCATGGCATCACCTGTCTCCTGTGTCACGTTGGCAGATTCCTGTGTGCCGGTATTTTTCTTCGGTGCTCGGCAATCTCTTTTGAAGTGACCCTTCTTGCCGCAATTATAACAAGTAAAATCTTTATTTCCTGTTCTTGATTTGCCCCTTCTGGATTTTGATCTGCCATGATTTGAATTTCTTTCTGAAGTTCTCCCTCTAGACTCCGTGTGCAAGGCTGAGGAGGTTGATGCTTCACCCGCTTCTCTCCGTCGAATTTCTTCACTCAATACCAGGTCCCGAACATCGTCGAATTTTAATTTATTGTTTCCCGACGAGCTACTGACTGTTGTAACAGTAGCATTCCAACTGTCTGGTAGAGATGATAAAAGAATTAAAGCTCGAACTTCATCATCGAATTCAATTTCCACTGAACTCAACTGGGTTGTGATTGTGTTGAGTTCATTTAGGTGTTGAGCCACTGATGCCCCTTCCGCCATCCGCAAATTGAATAATCGCCTCATCAAATGAACTTTGTTTGAGGCCGATGGCTTCTCATACATACTGGAGAGAGCCGTTATAAGACCCGCCGTGGTCTTTTCCTTTGCTATGTTGAAAACAACATTGCGGGATAACGTCATTCGGATAACTCCGAGGGCTTGTCTGTCGAGAAGAGCCCAGTCTTCATTCTTCATGCCCTCTGGTTGGTTTCCCGAGAGAGGCTGGTATAGATTTTTCTGGTACAAAAAATCTTCAATATGCATCTTCCAAAAGCCAAAGTCCGCACCATCGAACTTTTCAATTTTCACATTCCCTTCGTCTGCAGCCATCGCTCCCACTCGAATCTGGCTTCTTTGGATCGTTTTTGACAATTTCTGCGAACCGCCGTGTATTAGAACACCTCCGTCGACAAACTCGTACCGCCGACCGAATTTTACTATTCACGAAATTCACTATTCACGTGAATAGTAATCTCGCAGAAAAATTAACAAAATTCACAACCAAAAGCTCATGATACCAGTTGTTAGGAAATAATAAACCGAATACAAGTAATTTTCCTTATAACCAGATTAGTGCGAATGCGAAATAAAAGCGGAAAAATAATACCCGAAATTGATAACGGAGTTTAGCCAATTTTGCTTACGTCTCCGGACTGCTGCTGATCGTTTACTAAGAGAGAAAATTTACAGGTGTTTACAAAACACTCACTACTCACAAAAAAACTCTCTAGTATTGGAAGAAAGAAATGATTTTGGGATAATTTTGAAGCTAAATGAACTAGGGTATTTATAGTTGAAACTTAGGGACTAATCTTTGTAAATACCCTAAAATTCAATGACTCAATTTTGTAATTATCCCTATTACAAAATAATAAAAAATTTAGCCCCCTATTATTATTATTTTCAAGCAGCCGCCGGCTGCTAATAATTTTGCAGCCCATGTGCTGCTTTGACCAACACGCTGAAGGTATCACTCTTGGTTATTTGGTTTATGGCAACCTTGTCAATATCCCATTGATATACTTTGCATTTTCACCTAATGAATGTACATTTCAATGATCATGGAACAAAAATCAACTTTTACATTCTACAGGTTGCAGAGCGGTTCATAGATGCTGTTCGCGAATCGTCTCGTCGTCCTTTGCCGGTGTCATTCTTCATTAACTATGATGCTGAAGATATCCTAAGGCAAGCCACAGAATCAACTCTTCGGTATGAAAGAGGTAACTTTTGACAGTTATTAAATCACTATATACATACCCTAACGTGCTTTCTTATTGAATCATAAAGAATTAAGCAGGATACTTCAGTTTTGAAAATGTTCTAGACGATGATCAAAGTCAAAAACAAGTTTGCTGATTTACAAACTTAATTAGTGGAAGTGGAATTGCACCTTCATATAGAATCTTTTTCTATTTATAATATCCCTTTGTCAATACCATCTGATATTCATATAGATCTAATTGTTATCTTATTAATTCAGGGGCTCCAATATCAGTTCTAGATGGAGTTCCAATGGCTGTCAAGGATGAAATGAATTGTTCCCCATATCCAACAACAGGTCTCCTAGGTTATAGGATTGCACATAAATTCCTTTCTATTAATTGTTATTCTCCGTCTCTATCTCAGTCCTTATTCTTATAGGAGGTACAAAGTGGCTACACAAGGTTAGACCTTGCACAGGCGATGCATGCTGTGTTGCGCGACTAAGATCCTATGGTGCTATAATTGTTGGAAAGAGAAATATGCATGAGCTTGGAGTTACACCAAGTGGGACAAATCCTCACTACGGGTGAGATTTCATAACCCAAAATTACCGTTTCTTTATCCATTTTTCTGCACGTGAAGTCTCATAGATAAGAATTAATATACAGGAAACAAACCTGACTAAATGTAACATTTTTCTTTATCTTGTGTAATTTCTTTCTATTCAGAAACATGAAAGATGGTAATATGTTTAACTCTGTGAATGTTGCAGGGCTCCAAGATATCCCTATGATCCCAGCAGAATCTCTGGTGGTTCTTCTAGTGGATCCGCGGCATTAGTATCAGCAGGATTATGCCCTGCTTCCCTCGGTGTGGATGGAGGAACTAAAGACTGTCCTTCAGTGAGAAAACAACCAAACACTGTTGACAAAATTAAACAAAATGAATTCTGACTAAATCATCTTCAACGTTTGGACAACTGTTTAAGAAAGTTAGAATACATAGTAATAACTAGAATTTCATTATCCATGGACTAATCTACGCACTTTATATATGTTTTCTGTGTAGGCTCTGTGAGAATGCCTGCACCCCTTTCTGGCGTTGTCGGCTTCAAACCGACTTTTGGACGCACACCTCAGTCAGGGTGAGAACTTGTTTACGTAAAACAATTCTGAGTTCCATTAGGTGTTAAATTTAAGCAATATCTGAAAATGCGTATGTTCGTTCCAGTGTTCTTCCTCTTAACTGGACAGTCGGAATGGTTGGAATACTAGCAGGTACCATAGAGGATGCATTTATTGTGTAAGTGTTCTCTTGTTTTCTTTTTCTTTCTTTTTTTGGTGTAGTGGAAGCCACAAACTGGAGTATGGAGGTGGTTGCAGATGGTACTTGAATCCCAAAACTTCCGGATGGCGGATGCCGCCTCTTAAAAGTGATTGCATGAATCAACGGGACTAAGCTTCGGGTTCCTTGACTTTTTTATCATTTTGTTATAGATTTGACTTAGATTTCTGTTTTCAGATGAGACAACCACTTTGCATGTGAGTACCAGTTGTATAAGATCACTAAGAATTCTGGGTATTAACTGTTGTTTTCAATGCATATCACCTCCCTTTAAAGAGAAAGCTGATTCCAATACCAATTTATGTGCCAAACCGATTTTTCATATATACTTCAAAAAAAAATTGAACATATTCATATTAGACAAGTACCCTTATCTTATGCTTACCTATGTCTGCGTAACATAACTCTTCACACCTATATTATTTTCACAAGAGAATCTAAAGTTTAGAAACCTTGTACTTTTTTCTTTGGCATACGGATAACCTACCAGCCAAAAGTGTATTTTCCGCTGCTGAACTCGAAAAATCAAATATCAAACATCAAGCTTGCAAGATATGGAGCGGTAAGTAATGAAATTATATGATCAATTAATTTAAGTCCATTTTTCTTCAGTTATAAGCGTAAAAAGGACGAGGTTTCTAATCCCTTTCATTCTTTTTTTCTAAACTAATTCTGTTAGTGGTTCAATGATTGTGACGAAGAAGTCAGATTATGCTGCTCTAATGCTCTGCAATTGCTCTGTGAGCATTACAGTTGGAAGGTATAAATTAATAACAACCCTTGTATTATAGTTGTTAACTGGTGTTGTACCAAATCCGTTAAAAAAGATTGGTTTCCCATGGTGTTAAATTCAAGTTTGGCGTCTACATTTTCGATTTACTGTCAACTAGTTTATATTCAAGTTAAGTCTCTCCACTTACTGTCAATTGCTTTTAGGTTGGATGCTTAATAGTTTGTTATTATAGCAATAAATTTCCCCGTCTTAGAGCCTAATCAAATGAAAAACTTTCCCATGACTAATATGACAAATTAGCTAACAATTTTATAACAAAACACTAGAGATTGCTTACTAATCCTGCCAATGTATATCATTCAAAAGACTGTAGAGGTTACTATACCGGAGATAGAAGTAATGCGGCAGGCGCATTATGTGACGATTGGTTCCAAGTGCAGCACTTCACTTAGTTCTTATCTGGAAAATTTGTATGTTACATTCTGCACTTTAACCACCATGTTATTTACTCCTTATGTTCATGTTCTCCAGGATTTTTAAGTTTATATTCTGACAGTATAAACTTGTTCAAGTACGGACCGTTCAGAAATGGGATGGGATGCAAGAATAGTAGTTGATATATATGGTGCTTTTGACAGCAATGAGTACATAAAGGCCCAGAAACTGAGGTAAGCTAATCTGCAGCCAATACTTTTTTTTTTTAAAAATTGTCGTTTAGAATATAAATTATCACCCATCAACTGTCTTGGACAATGGACTTTTGGATGCTTAACATGATATCAGAGCTCAAGTTTGGTTATGTTATTATCCCTTTCGAGCTTGTCATGTGGTAGCCTCTTTTATACTCTCTTTGCCTACGCATGATGGGACATGTTAAAATTGTTAAATGATATTATTTTACATCAGTTGAATATTTTCCCGGATTTTCTCTGGAAATCGTATCTCCAATTTAATCCTCTCCACTTATGGTGAATTGGTTTAAATAAGGTGCTTGGCCACGAATATGCAGGTACCGCCATATGCAGATTCATAACAAGATATTCGCCAAGGCAGAAGTAATAGTCACTCCAACAACAGGGTAGATTCTTTTTAACTGCAACAGCTTGCATCTGTTCTTCTATTTTAGTACCAAAAGCCCAAAACAAATTTACTTTTTTCACATAAATTTACCCAGTTTCTTTTCAAAACAGTATGACAGCATACCCCATTTCCAAAGCTGCTCTAAAGACTGGTGAAACTTGACTACATAAGCGGAGGTAATAAAATTCTAACACATTTTCAAGTATGCATTCATGTTTAAATCTTCATGACAAAAGAAGCTGACCATATTACTGTTATTTCAGCTAACATTATCCGATATCAGATCGCCGGAAACTTTCTGGGACTACCTGCTATCACTGTTCCCGTAATTAACTTGCCACCACCAACCATTGAAGTTTCTATGTTGCTGTTTAATGTCTACTGATATCAAATCCTCCATGCATACATAGGTTGGCTATGACAAAGCTGGTTTGCCAATTGGCCTTCAATTTATAGGGAAGCCATGGTCAGAACCCACTTTAATGCACATAGCTCTTGCAATGCAGGTAGGTCACTTGTCGTGAACTTTTACCGATGTGTATCAGATAATAACCCTATATATATTGCGGTCGATAATGTCTAAAAGTACATTTCTGGTTCTAGGCATTGTGCATCACAGATTATAGAAAACCAAAGGTTTTCTATGATATTCTTGAGAAGAAGTGAGACGGCAGAATTCATGAACACACCAAGGCTCTTGCCTTCAACATGGCTTATCTTTCTCTTTGTATGGAATAACATTGTACAATTAACTTACCATGGTCTGTACTTTGTAGCAATACACAGTGTTGCTTGATTATTTGTAAGTTGCCATTGTTGTCAAGAATCATATCATATGTCACACCTTTTACAGTTCAAAGTTTGTGTCATCTCATTTATATATATATATATATATTGTTATTTTTTGTAGAATTTCACTTTAATTAATATCATTGATATTGCAATATCCTATAAGATATAAGGTTAAATATATATGAACGAAGGATGCATTAACCTTTGTTTTAGACAGATTTGAATGATTATAAGTAGTTTAAATATTATATTAAGAAATATTATGTTATTAATTATATTTGCTAGGTTGAAGGTTTTTAAGCTTTAAATACTAGTGATGCAAGATTAAGTATATTCAGTCGGTTGGTTAATTTGTTGATCTTTATTTCCTCATGTGTTTTTAGTTTATGAGTTCTAGATCTACTAGGAGCACTCTCATTCCTTCCCCTAGAGTCCCCTTCCCTCCTTAGACAGAATTACGATTAGATTTAGAATTTGTTAAAATTATATATATATATATATATATATATATATATATTGGTTCTTAAAAAAACAATTTACTTGTTTATATATTTCAAAAGTGGCAAATAATGATAGTTATACATATTTTGTAAACGTTGGAGGTTAATTTGCAATTTTTTTAAATTATGACAAAATTAATATAATATATAAATGTTGTTTGTTGAAATTAATATTATGTAAATTGAAACTATGTAAAAGCAGTGGCGGAACTTGATGATAAAGTTTGGGGGAGCAACTTAAAATTTTAAAAATTTAGAAGTTTAAATTAAAATTTTCAAAAATTTTGAAGGGTTCACTTTACTTTTTTTTAGAAAAATTGGGGTATAATTATAATTTTTGATATTTTGAGAGATTTAATGAGAATTTTTAAAAATTATAGGAGGGGTTTAACTAAAAAGATTCAAAAAATTTAAAAATTAATATAGGTTTCTAAAACTTGTGGGAATCAAATTAAATGTTTTAAAAATTTTAAAGGTCTAAACTAATTTTTTAAATTTTGGGGGGCCATGACCCCCACTAATCCCATTACCTTCCGTCTCTGTAAAAGTAAGACTTAAAGTAAAAAAAATCCCTAAACTATATTCTTTTTTATTTTAAGTATCTAAACTATTTTTTTGATCAAAACAAGTCCTTAAACTATTATATGTAGCCATTTTAAGCACCTAAACTATTTTTCGGTCAAAATAGGTCCCTAAACTATGACTCTTTTTTGAAGCCCATAAACTATTTTTTTTGTCAAAACCAGTAACTAATTTTGTGTGATGTGTTGACATAATATTGGTTGAAAAATAATTTTCTAACTAAATAATAATAAGACTTAAAATGATTAAATACAATAGTTTAAATACTTAATTTGACCAAAAAATAATTTAGGTACTTAAAAAAAACATACTTAAGTACTTATTTTTACTTTGTTTAAGAATCATGAACTTTGTGGTGGCAAAAAAATTGATTTATCGAACCCAATCCAACTTATTGGGTTTATCACTTGGCTTACCCGGAGACTTGTCGGGTCTAACTTTGGTTGTTCTCTCCCTTTCTCCCCCAACATTGCCTTTGGGTTTTGGCTTTTGTTTGGAAGGATCAATTCTCCGGATTTCAAATTGGGAAATGACTTCAGCTTCATTCAATGCCTTGGTGAGATCCTTCACTCCCCTACATTGAAGCTCTATGTTTGCCCACCGTTTTAACTCATCAATGAAGGAAAAATAGACTTTCGTCTCGCCTAAGTCTGAAATTTGTAGCTTTATCTCATTAAAGTTCTTGACATAATCCAGGATTGATCGATCATGCTTCAATTGCTTCAACTTCGCTCGGGCTACCAATTAGGTATTCTTTAGATAAAATTGTGCCTTGAGTTCTTGATCTAACTATTTACATGTCTCGATAGGAATGACTTTGTCCTTTGCCTCAGAATATCTGTGTCGCCACCCCAAGAAAATGACGTCACTTAAATAACTAGAAGCAATGTTTACCTTGGTGATATCATCTTTGACACCCATTCCCAGAAATATTGCTCCATGTCCCAAATAAAATTCTCCACATCTTGAGTTGTCTACGACCCCTTGAACTCTTTTGGGTAAGGTTGGGCTTCACCCCGCACTCCATTCTTCACGGCGATCTTGTACATAAGTAGCTCACTCTCAAGGTCATTTATCCTTTCAATGAGCTTGGCCTCCACATTTGTCACTTGTTGCTTTACAAGAGTCGTCATATTCTCTTTCAAACTTACTACCAAGTCGTTTGAAGTGTTGATTCGTTCTGCCAACTTGTTGTAAACGACATCAAGTTTTTATAGATCCTCGTCCAAGGATTATAGCTTCACCAAAAGGGGTTCTACCTCCTCTTGGATCTCTTTATCGAACTAACAACATACATGGATGTTGCTTGCTTCTCCCCGATATTACAGTTGTCAGTAAGCTAGACTGCTAAGACTTCGTCTTGTTGTTGTGGGGCCATCTCTATTTTTTGAAACACGCTCTGATATCACTTGTCACGCCTCTAGAATCTCAAACTAGAAACTATGTGGTCTTAGACGCTTTTTTGATTGAAAACAACTATGTCAGCTTGAACAATCTAAGTAAAAACACTTAGATAAAAGAACGGAAGCTAACACAACTTCAAAAGGAAAAATGCATAACAAAAGAACAAGAGAAAGTGAGAGAATAACTTAGTTTTTATTCTCAACTTTAAGTGAAAAATGAGGTGGGAGTAAACATCTATTTATAGTAAATGCTCCTTACATTCAACGACTGAAATTGAATCTAATCAATAGCTAGGATAATTAAATAAAAGATAATTAAATAAAAATAATTAAAATAAGAATAAACTTATTCAAATCGGGTCAGCTTAAGCTAAAATGGCCCAAGATGCTTCTGCAAGCTATTATGGTGGCTCAAGGTGGTTTGGTGGATCCCCTATGGTGGTCTGGTGACGTCACAGGGTGGCCCAGAAGGGTCTGGATACGTCTTGACTGGTTTGACCCATACTTAACTCGGTCGCGGACCAATGGTTTGTGACAATATATATATATGCTTATATTATAAATTGACTTAATAAAAAAATAAGCGTTTAAATTATACTTAAAATTGATTTTTGATGCCTATTTCTTTTGTTAAAAATAAATACCTAATATTTTCTCTGTTACACTTTTAGGTAGCTACCTTTAAAAGGAACCAGTTATGTGACATGTGTCACGTTTTATATTTTCTAATTTTTTTCTTTAAAATAAAACATTATTTAAAAAAATTGAAAAAAAATTTGAATGTGACATGTATCCTTTAACAGATTTTTTTAATGGTTGGTACCTAAAATGCAACAGAGAAAATATTAGACACATATTTTTAACAAAAAATTCTTTAAGCACCAAAAGTCAAATTTGAGTATAGTTTAGGCACTTATTTTTATATTAATCCTTATAAATAAGTAACTAAAATATATTTTTTTCATCTAAATATTTAGAGTATTTTTTATCGAAATAAGTACTTAAATTTATATTTTTAATCAAAATAAATACTTAAAATATTCTTTGTCAAAATAGATAACTAAAGTATTTAATTTTTTTATTTAAAATCTAAAAACATTGACATATGACATTAATTAAATAATACTTTAGGTATTTAAATGAAAAAATTAAATGCTTTTAATATCTATTTTGATAAAAGATAAGTTAAACACTTGTTTAAAAAAAAAAGGGAATAGTAGTAATGAAATCATGATGCCTCAGGGGAAAAAAAGAAAAAAGGAACAACAGTGAGGCTGAAGCTCTGAAAGTCTGAAACAAATCACCAAGGAAGAGAAAGGGAGTGGTCAACGAGGGAAGGCCACTCAAGTTGCCAAACCCTAATAACCTTTCATCTTCTTCAAAAGTTTTTTTCGATCGATCGAGAATTGAGCAAAATCAATCGAGAAAATGACCAACCAATCGGTGCCTCTCCCGCCGCAATCCCGTCGGAATTCTCATAGAAGAGGCCTTTCTGCCCCCGACAAGTCTCACACCTCCGACAATGCCATGCCCACTTCTCCCTCGTTAGTTCCCTACTCTGACTTATTTCTTTTGAATTTTGTATGTTGCTAAATGTTGTTTTACGAAGGTTTCTAGTTCCTTGTTTTGCCAGTTCCATCAATGGCGAGAGGGCGGTGAAGAAACTGAGGTTGTCCAAAGCCCTCACCATCCCTGAAGGAACCACTGTGTTCGAGGCTTGTAGGCGAATGTCAGCTCGTCGTATGGATGCCGTGTTGCTCACAGATGCCAATGGCTTACTCTCTGGGATCGTTACTGACAAGGTTTTTATTTTTAATTTTATTTAGCATCCGTGTACTGTTTTATTTCTTCCATGTTATCGTGTAGTGTGTAAAACTGTAAATTTATATATTGTAATTGACAGGACATTGCCACTAGAGTAATAGCAGAAGGGTTGAGGCCGGAGCAAACAGTAGTATCTAAGATCATGACACGTAGTCCAATTTTTGTTAATTCGGACTCTTTGGCCATCGATGCACTTCAGAAGATGGTTCAAGGTACTTGATTATGTTACTTTCAGCACAAAACCCGATTTAAATTGTCTTAAAGAAATAATTGGATACATCTTGGACAGTGTTTGGAATGAACTTTGGCATGTTGTAACGGTTCAAACTGAATGGTAAATTGGTAATTGATTTTCTTGCAAGATATTTGCTGCTGAGAAAAAGAGACTTGTAGAAGACTTGGGGTGTGGATGGAGTGATGGAAGAAAATAGTTGCTTTCTTTTAGTTCATGAGGCTCATTGCAGCTAATTATCTGTGAGGAAGATACATGACAAAGCCAATATTTGGTGTTATAATTAGATTCTTATGCACGTCTTGTTATGACTGGCTTGGCAGGAATTATAAATAACCATCAAATATTTATTTACTACTTTGTAATAACCTTAATTATAAGTATGTTTTATGGTTTTATATGGTCCCTAATCATAAATGTGCATGTGTGGTTTCTGTAGGAATTATAGAAATGAGTTGTCAATCCCTTAAGTTAAGAGATTATGTAATTATTTTCTGTTTTTTCAATCCCTTATTTCAAGGGATTACATCTCCTAGGATTAGTTTCCTTTCTTAGAGTTTCCTAGTTTAAAGGCATAATTTGTATATAAATATGTAATATGTTCTACTAAATGTACACAAGAATAAAAATAACAGACTTGTTTGTTTTCTACAGTCTGTTTTCTACATGGTATCAGGTTAGAGCGATCAATCCGATTTCCGCTTCTCTTTAAATCAATTCCTATTCAACTCTATTTTTTTCATGGCTAATCCGGATCCCTCAGCATCCGAAATCACTTCCCAGACCAGCCCCTCTCAATCTAATTTTCAGATTTCAGTTTTCAAATTTTCAAAGCAACAGAGGAAAAATCGCCTTTGGTATGAACATTGTAAGAAGCCAGTCCATATGATAGATCAATGTTGGAAGCTGCACGGAAAACCAGCCGATTGGCAGCACACACGGTCGAGGTTTCAAAAGGAGCCTCACATTGCCTCTCAAGATGATTCCTCAAGCAGTTTTAGCAAGAAACAGATAGAGGAACTGCAGCAGATTTTGAGCAGTATGACAGCCAAGCCTACAAATGTGACTTTACTACTACTGATGGAAATAATCCATATGCTTCCTCGGTACAATGGATAATAGACTCGGGTGCATCAGATCATATGACAGGAATATTAATATCTTGGAGGAATATAGTGAAAACACTTACCAGCTTCTATCAAAATAGCAGATGGTTCTCTCACTACAGTCAAAGGGAGTGGTTCTGTTACATTAAACCAAAAATCTACTACTTCATAATGTCCTCTATGTTCCTAGACTTGCATGCAATCTGTTGTCAGTCAGCAAATTAATTAAAGATTTTGGTTGTAATGTTGTGTTTGGTACTGGTGGTTGCATTTTTCAGACACAGGGCTCGAAGAGGGTGATTGGCAGTGCTAGGCTGGGCAAAGGATTGTACACCCTTGGAGGTAAAGCATCTCATAATCATGCCTTATCTAGTGCTCTTAGGAAACCAATTTTATCTTCTGATCTCAATACCAATAAAATTATGTTATGGCACTCTAGATTAGGTCATCCTAATTTTTCTATCTTTCCAAAATGTTACCGAACTTATTCATTAATAAAGATCCGTTTGTTTTCCTGTGAAATTGTCAAATGGCCAAACACCAGAAAACCATATATTCCAGCCAAATTGAACCAACAACACCTTTTTTCATCATCCATAGTGACATTTGGGGCCCTTCTCCTGTCAAAAGTATTTCTGGGTATAAGTGGTTTGTGTCTTTTATAGATGATTACTCTAGGACAACATGGGTTTTCTTAATGAGAGAAAAATCTGAGGTTGAGTCTCTCTTTAAAAGTTTTTATCAAAAAGTTGAAACCCAATTTGACACAAAAATCAAATTCTAAGGAGTGACAAATGGGAGTGAGTATTTGAATAAAACCCTTGGGTTCTTTAAGGAAAAATGCATTTTCACCTTACTTCTTGTGTCAACACAACAAAAAACGGGTAGCAGAAAGGAAAATAGACATCTTCTAGAGGTTACTAGGTCTCTTATGTTTGCTGCTAATGCTCCTAAGTATCTTTGGGGGGAGCTCTTCTTACAGCCACTTACCTCATCAATAGAATGCCAAGTAAAACCTTAGATTTCAAAATTCCTACTAAGGTTCTGTTTCAGCTGTATCCCATTTTAAACATTTAAACTCAAGTCTTTTCCTCGGGTGTTTGGGTGTACAGCCTTTGTTCATATCCACAACAGAGGGAAATTAGATCCTAGGTCCATAAAGGGTGTTCTTGGGCTATTCTTCGAGTCAGAAAGGGTTACAGTGTTACTCACCTTCAACCAAAAAGACCTATGTCTCCTTTGATGTTACATTTTTGAAAACCAACCTTATTTTCAAGAACAGAAATTCAGGGGGAGAGTTACAAGGAATTTCAGCCTGTTCAAACCGATATTTTTTACAGCCTATTAGTTACAAGGAATTCAACCTGTTCAAAACGATATTCTTTACAACTATCCTTTCCTTACCTATTACTGTCTCCCAAAGCCAGCTAGCACTGTCCCAGTTCCTAGGAGGGTGATGGATAACCTAAATAACTCTGATGAATTATCTTCTCCTTATCTCAGCACTCAGTCCGTGCAAAAACACCTTCCACCACTACCAAAATGCTAACAATGACCCTGAAACCATAATCCCCAACCGAAACAACTTAGTGTTTACTCAAGAAGAAGGAAAGATGTTGCTGAAGAAAGTCAGCTAGCATTTGCCAAGAACCAGATTCGGATCCTGTTGCAGCTGAAACAGAAGGTAATGATGGTTACCAAGAGGCTACTACTGTGATCTTGATGACTTTCCTATTGCTATAAGAAGGGGGTAAGAAAATGCTGTTCATCCCATAAATAAGTATGTTGCATATGGGAAATTACAGTATAATTTCAGGGCCTTCACTGCCAGTATTAACACTGTGAAAATCCCAAGAAATGTGACAGAAGCATTTCAATCTCCTGAGTGGAAAAAGGCCGTGGAGAAAGAAGAAAAGCATTGCAAAAGAATAAAACATGGAGTTTGACAGATTTTCCAAAAGGGAAGAGAGCTGTGGATGCAGGTGGATATTCACAGTCAAATCATTCGGATGGGAGTGTGGTGATCTTGATGACTTTCCTATTGCTTTAAGAAGGGGGTAAGAAAATGCACGTTCATCCCATAAATAAGTATGTTGCATATGGGAAATTACAGTATAATTTCAGGGCCTTCACTGCCAGTATTAACACTGTGAAAATCCCAAGAAATGTGACAGAAGCATTTCAATCTCCTGAGTGGAAAAAGGCCGTGGAAGAAAGAGATAAAAAGCATTGCAAAAGAATAAAACATGGAGTTTGACAGATTTCCAAAAGGGAAGAGAGCTGTTGGATGCAGGTGGATATTCACAGTCAAATATCATTCGGATGGGAGTGTGGAAAGATACAAGGCAATGCTGGTTGCTAAAGGTTTTTCTCAGTCCTATGGCATCGACTATGTTGAGTTAATCGAATGACGAAATTGGCCAAGAGGGGGGTGAATTGGCAATAAAAAATTTTGTGGAAGCTTTTGCAGAAAATTGAAAGTAATGCACAGCGATTTACAGTGGTTCGACTTTCTCAACAAAGTCTACGTCCACTACCTTAGCTATCCACACTAAGGATTTTCCAACAAATTCACTAATTTGTTCTTTCTTTGAGGCCAAAGAGATAACTTACAATTCCCTCAAGAGTATACCCCAACTCTTGAGAACACTCTTTTCTCAAAGAGAAGATTACAAATTTGCAAACTTACAAAAAACTCACAAGGTAAGATGTTTGCACAATTCTAGAAACAAGAAAAGAACACTCAAAGAAAATTACAAATGAGCACAATAAGTGTTCTTTGAAAGCAAAATGAATATTGAATGAAAATTGACTTGAATTGCACAAACTTTGTGTTTGATGCTTTCTCTCTTGTTTCTCTATGATTTCTTGCTAATCAAGGGCTTCAGAACTTGTTTAAATACACCTTGGATCACCTCTGAACGTTGGGGATGATTAGAGAAGATATTATAGCCGTTTTAGTGTGAAAACATTTAATAAAACAGCTTGGAGTGTGGGGGGAATCGGTTCCCCCTTGAAGGGAATCGGTTCCTAAGAGTAAAATTCAAATATTTCGACCGTTGTACAATGGGGGAATCGGTACCCCCTTGGGGGGGATCGGTTCCCTCCGAGCATACTGGAATTCTCGGAACAAAACTGTTTAGGGGGGAATCGGTTCCTCCTATGGGGGAATCGGTTCCCTCCGAGCATTCTGGAAATCTCGGAGCCAAACCATTCAGGGGGAAATCGGTTCCTCCTATGGGGGGGAATCGGTTCCCTCTGAGCAATCTGTAATTTTGGCTTTAAATTGGTTCGAAATACTTTGTAAAATATTTGAAATTGTTTTATGATTAAAACTTAATTTTCACTTAAGTAAGGATTAAAAATGATTTTTGAAATATTTGGAGTATGTTTTGATATTCGAATAGTTATATCGAATATACTTAGAAAATCATTTGGAAAATCTTAAAATCCATTTAACTTAATTTGTTATATCGAAATATCAAAATGTTTCAACAATCTCCCCCTTTTTGATATAACAAAAATTTTTAGTAATTTTAAGATTTTTGAAATCAAGTTTTGTTTTGAAATTACTCCCCCTTACTTTAACACTTCTTCAATTTATTATGTAAAACATTAACACCTATTCTTTCCCCCTTTTGTTAAATCAAAAAGACATTGTAAAACAAGGTTTTGAAATCATTTAGCCATTGATTTATTAAGCTTAAGCTGCTAAGATCACAATCAAAAGAGAGGTTAGCATTAGTTTCATCATATTCATAAATAATGTGATATGGCAAAATTGGTCATATTGCTAATGATGATGCAAAAATGAATAAACATATAAGTTCACACTATTCATAAATCCAAAATCCAACAATCCACAAAATCAAAC